GGCAGAGAGCCGTGACAGGATCGAGAGGCAAGCGAACCCGGTATGTGTTCGCTCACCTCCCGATCTACTGAGCCGACCTGTGACAGTCTCATTGTCACAGGTCGGCTAGAACTATGAGGTGAGTGGAAATCACTCATCTCATAGTTCTCCTTTAAGAAAACCACATCAAAGAAAGGTGTAGGTGTTGCTGACAGCACTTACACTCATTTTTGCACTGCAGGTCAGAGAACGAAAGCCAATCCTGATTTTTCCATTAGTTCCAGGATTTATAAAGCGACCTTCTCGCCTTTACAAAACAAAATGACCTCTAGACCACTAGGTATAATCATTCATTTCCATCCAGACGAGAAACAGATTTGAACACCTACACTAAACAAACGTATACAGATACGCAGTGTGAAAAATAAAGCCAGGTCACAGCAATTAGAAATCAGCCTGTAGCATACAGCGGACAACAAAGGGAAATAAATACCCATAAAATCAGAGAAGGGATTAGACTACATCCCGTGACCCTACGTGGACTCACGCAGTAAACATGACAATGAATCCCTTCTCTATCTAGGCACACTATAAATAAATAAGTGACCTTATAAATTACCTAGCAGTTCCATTGCATCATCCTCATTATCAATATCTTCCTCTGTGACAGATGCAGGGGTGCTGTGTATAGAGTCAAAGGAGTCTTGAGACAACATGGCTGCCAGGAGCTTCTTGTGCTGCTGCTGCTGTTGCTTTAGTCCTTTGTTTTTTGGCTCCATCTTGAGGCTAGAGAGATAAGAAAAAATAAACATTGGTTTTCCATTTTTTAAGTAGTTGCTTATAGGAGAATACATATTGTTTTACCCGACACCAGACTTGTAAAGGAATGCCCTTATTAAGGCAGCACAGTGGCTTACCGGTTAGCACTTTTGCCTTTTGGCGATGGGGTTCCCAGGCCCAAATCACGGTTTAGGACACTACTTGCAAGGAGTTTGCATGTTCTCCCTGTGCTTACATGGGTTTCTCCCACACTCTGTATTCATGTGAGATGTGAGACCTTGGATTGTAAACTCCTCGAGGGCAGGGACTGATGTGAATATGCACTATGTAAAGTGCTGTGTAAACTTGTTGGTGCTATATTGATATTTGTTACAAGTAAACTATATAGGGCTAAGGGCCTGTTCACACGAAGTCCGTATTCTGTGCCTACCTGATTCGTACGCTCCTGCACTAAAAATGCATCCCAATGTATCCCTATGTGTTTTATGGGCTACAGTTCTCACATGCGTAGTCCGTTCAGGTTACGACAGAAAGTATTGGGGTGTGTTTTCAAATTATTGAGTTCAGGTGTGAAGGGTACTGCTAAAGCTAATGTGTACAAAGATATTTTAGACAATTGTGTGTACTTCCAACCTTTTGGCAAAAGTTTGAGGACTCTGGCAGACAGTAGGATCCAACACTTTGGATTGCTGGATCCCTATTAATTTTGCAGGATGTTTACTTAAATAATGAGAAAACAAACTAAAAAACAAGTTGGGATTTTTTTTTATATTAAACAGAGTTTAGATTAAAATGTGAGAGGGCCTCTTTAAACTCTGCATATGGATTTTTCATTATCTCCTCAGTTAGAATTGTCAATGAGCTGCAAACAAGGTTTACCCATCCCCTCCACACACGCACGCACACACGCACGCACACACCACAAGAATACAGTCACGTTATTGTTGACCCAATGTCTTTTCCAGCCGGGCCCACAGCAGTCACCATTGGGAATCACGCCTTCTATTTCACCTTGGCAATAAACATCCAGTAACATTTTGGGGTGTTAATCCCGTTCTTTCTCATCACGTTCTCCATTGCTTAGCTAGGATGAGATGCACTGTGCTCTTTATGTAATAAAATATTTTATAACATGTCCATGAGCTTATTCTAAGCCGACATTTAACAGCTGTAGCATATGAGATTTTAAATGTAGCCATAACAGACTACGTGTCTGCTACAGGACCTTGTTCTGTCTAACTATATAACTTACTAAATGTTTATGAAAGCAACAAAATCATTCTCAATAAAATAAATGTATGTAATTTGCCTCTATCAAATTACAGTATTCAATGTAGTTACAGTTACAGTTACAGATAAAAGCACAATTGAAATTTCAGTTTAAATCAGCTAAATACATTTCATAACAAAATCTTGTTTTCTTTAGAAAGCAGCCAGAGCCTAATAAGGCTTGTTCTCTGCCAGCATGTTGCAAAGTGGGACCCTTGCTCTGTATGGAAGCAGTGGTCCCTCTGCAAAGGTCTGGCACACTGCCTACTATATCAGAGCTAGAGTTTGTAAATCAGCAGGGAGCATGTGCTTTGCTGAATGGAAAGCAAACTCTGACTAAGCAGGGTGTGTGTCAGACCGCTGCGAAGCGGCCACTGCTTCCATACAGACCGCAAGGGTTCTTCTCTGCAACATCTTCATCAAGTGGGAATCCCGGTAAGGAGTGCGGTATGGTTCCTGTTTCTGTTTCTTCTCTGCAGCAGGGGACAGGCATTACTACTTAATCTAGTTTATAAAGAAAAAAAACTGTAGGACTTTGCACATTTTTTGTTTTGATGCTCTTGGAATGTATTTATTTTATTTATTTATAACAGGTATTTATATAGTGGCAAAAATGTACGCAGCGCTTTACATACTGCATATTCACATGAATCCCTGCCCTCAAGGAGCTTACAATCTAAGCTACCTATTGTACAAACATACAGGGCCAATTTACCTTCCAGCATGTCTTTGCAGTGTGGGAGGAAACCCACCCAAGCACAGGGAGAACATGCAAACTCCTTGCAGAGTCCTGACTGGCATTTGAAACGGGGACCCCCATTGCTGCAAGGTAGAAGTACTAACCACTAAGGTACAGTGCTTAGGTAATTTAAAGTAGTATTAAAGGCTGATCATGTTTTACTTTAATGCATTCTCTGCATTAGGGTTAAAAATGATCACTACCTTTTTGTGTTCCTTGTTCCCTCACACTTACCTGTCAGCACTGTGACTGCCGCCGGTCCCTGTATCAATCCACCCATTCCCCGAACTTCCTGGTTGTGGGGGGAGGATACTGAGGGCAGAGGAGCCGTAGGCTCATCTGCTATCAATCACCCTTTAAGGAGGAGGAGAGGGGTGTGGCCTGCCGCAGCGCTGTGTGTGACTATGGGCGCACACAGCCACTGTAGGAACATGCGCGCACGGGTGCCTCCATAGTAGCCGCTTAGCTGGTGGTGGCACTCCTGCAGGGGGTGGGGGGATGAGCGCTGCACGGACCCACTAGAAAACAAGAAATGGAAGCTTTTTGAAGAAAAAGAACAGACAATTTATAAGAAGGTGGGCCTCCTAGATGGGAAAAACCCCCAAAAACCTGAAGCTTTAATATCACTGGTTTTAATAACATAATTGGAATAATATCATTGGTTTTAATAATGGTACAGTGCAGCAGTAGAATTAATATTAAGGTGGAACTCAGGCCAACATTTTAAAAACCCAGCCAAAGATTCTAACCTTAAACCCTGTTCAAACACATAAAAGGTTTTGGCTGAAACTCCACTTAAATATTGGTGTTGAAGAGGCATGAGGCCCAGTTTTATACAATGATGTCCCTGGCTTTTATATCAACCTTTCCTGCATGTCTGCAGACAATGGCCTTCATTTAGATAGCTATAAATATTCATAAGAACTTCTAAGACTGAAAGCTCCATTTACCTTACAAAGATGGATTAGGGGAACATTTTTCCTCCACAGATATGCAGATATGTGCACACAGAACACGCATAAGCCGATGCCTCCTCTATCGCGCCAGCTCCTGTCACAGGCGGAGTGATACCAAATGCACTCCGTCTGTGAGTAATCCATAGTAAAAGCGCACTTCGCTCATTCTGGCCGCCGATTGGTTAGCAAATTGCTCTTGGAAAGGTACGGCACCCCTGATTGCCCTGATCACCATATTTTTGTAGATGAATACATGAAGACTGTTGTACATGAATAAGTGTGGATTGTTGTACGTTACAAAAAAATAAAAATAAGACCTACCCCGAAAATAAGACCTAGCATGTTTTTTTGAGCCAAAAAAAAATATAAGACTGTCTTATTTTCGGGGAAACACGGTATATACCAGAAAATTGTATACTCACCTATAAGCAATTTTCCTTTCCTGGTGCATCTTCACGGCAGCACACAATGGGTTAACGCTCCTCCCCTTAGCCCAATAGGACAAGCCCTCTATAAGTTTTTGTGCCCTGTAGCATGGGGTAATTCTAGTCAAAACTGCGAGCCTTGTAGGGAGGGCACCTGTGTGCTGCCATGAAGATGTACCAGGAAAGGAGAATTACCAATAGGTGAGTATGCAATTTTCCGTTTTCCTAGTGCATCATGGTAGCACACAATGGGATGTAGAAACCACACAGGGAGGTAAATGCGAGAAGAAAAAAAAAGTTTAATGAGATAATGCATAATCATGAGGCAGAGCCTGCGGCAATAACTGCCTTGCCAAAAGCCGCCATAGTCAAAGCAGTCGGGTTAATCCAGTAAGGATTCATAAAGGTACTCCTGGAAGACCAGGTGGCTGCCTTGCAGATCATCTTAGCTGACACCTTCGAGAATGCTGCCCAAGAGGTTGCCACTCCTCGAGTAGAATGTGCTCGAACTTCTTTAGGGACAGGTATGACGTATGCCTTTTTAATTGTCTTGACAAGCCAGGAGGCCAGGGTCCTAGCTGAGGTGGGCTGCCCCTTCTGAGTCCTCTAGGGGGGATGTAAAGGCTGCTTGAGATTCTAATTGCCTGTGAGGCCGCAATATAAGGGATTGGTAACTTTGGGTAGGAAAGCCATGTTGGGTCTTAATACCGCCTTGTCTGGGAAAAATTTGCAATAAGGGTTACCGATTGTCAAGGCATGGAGCTCTGACACCCGTCTTGCGGAAGCTATGGCTACTAGAAAGACTGTTTCAAGAGTCAGATTCCATAGGGAAGAATTTGAAGCCAGAAAAAAAAAGGGTAGGAAGAAAAGGACTTCAGTACGAGTGTCAAATCCCACTGCAGAAAGAGTTGTTTCCTTTAAGGCCTAAGTTTGAGACAGGCCTTCAAGGGATAGTATGACCATCTAGTGTTAGTGAGGGCCGATATAGCCGAAATGCTGACCTTAAGGCCCAATTCTAATCCTGTTTGCAGAAATTCCAGGACATCAGTGATCTCAGGCTCTGTGGGATTAAATCCCTTTTCCCCTGCTGCTGTCAGGAACTTGTCCCAGACTCTTCTATATTTGAAGTTGGTGGAGGACTTCCTTACCTTCAGAATCTGAGGATCTCCCTATAACTCGCTGGGATGTGCTAGGATTAGGAGTAGCACCAGGGGGCCCTGACATCTCTCTCACGCAGTTCTTAACAGACTGTTTTATTAGAGAAGATAAATCTGCAGATGAGGCAAGGTGCTCTTGGGTTGCCTCTGGCAGGCAAGCCTGGCATACAAGCGGTGACTGGCGGACCGCGTATGCGCAGAACGAAGACACCGCCTCTCGATGAGTCCTGCAGCTGGGCACATCGCCCATGGCCGCCATCTTGGGAATGAGCGCTGGAGCAGCGAACAAAGCGCTGGAGCAGGACGGAGCCACCGGTAAACAGTAAGGGAAGCAGGAGGAAGAAAAAATGCCAGACGACACAAGGCAGAAGGGGGGACATTGTAGCCCCAAGACGGATCCAGACAAGGTCCCTAAGACATCCAGACTGGCACTCCCTGTGGAATACGCTATTTAAAGGCA